CCTAAACCCTAAACCTTACCCTAAGTTCTAAACCCGAAGACCCGAAGACCTGGACCCTGATGGTTTAGCTGGGTTTTTTCCTCGGGGTTTATGGGGTTGAAAGGATTTTTTTGTTGGGTTTAGGGTTTAGTGTTGGGTGAGTGTGGGGGCTTAGCTGACCCTGTTCTGTCGTTGTTTGGGGCAGGTATCTATATGCATTATGACGACAAGTCTTGCCCATTGTGTGGGCCTCCACATTGGGGATGTTTGGGTGTGGGATCTGGGGGGGGGGGGGTAAGAGTTTCGGTTTTTTGGGCAGGCGATTTGGATATTGAAGCTCAGGTTTCGCAGCTTGGGATTCAGGAGTTTGGGTCGCAGGTTTTAGGGTTCAGAGTTTTCGGGTTTAGGGTTTAGAGTTTATAGGGGTTCAGCTTTTAGGGTTTAGGGGTGATAGGCTTTGCGAGTTAGTGCCGTCGGCTTAGGAGTGTCCGGGTTTCGGGTTTTGGAGATAGAAGTTGGGTTCTGCGGGGAGGCTTGGGGGTGTTTTGGATGTCCGGAGCTGTTTAAGGGTTTATGGTTCAGGGCTCAGGTTTCATAGGGTTGTGGGTTCTGAGCTTTAGGGATGTAGGTTTTCAGCGGTTTTGGCTTGGGGGCCGGCCGCGTTGAGAAAAAGCCGGAAGTCGGGCCTCAAGCCCTAAACTACTAAAAACACGACAGCTAGGATAGTTAGACTAGGGTTTTGGGTATATTGCGGTTTGAATTTAGTACCAGACCTTTTCCTGATAGTGAAGGTCCGTATTCCTAAACCCTGAACCCTAAGCCCTGATCTTAAACCCTATGCCTTTAAGCCGAAGGCGAAACCCCTGGCCTGCTAGCCGATGTTTTCGCACGGGTCGGAGGCCCTGACGCCGAGGTGGGAGGTGCCCAAAAACAAAAGGTGTAAGGCTAAGGGTTGGTAGGGTGCACTTATACACCGCCCCTAAACCCTAAACCTGCACAGACTCCAAAACCCGCTTACTTGAGGACGATACCTGAAGATAGTAAGGGAGCCTCTGGGATTCAGGGCCTGTTTCTTGATGAAGGAAGTTTAGGAGCCTCCGGGAGACAGGGTTCAGGGATTAGGGTTTAGGGTTTAGGGTTTAGGGTTTAGGGTAGGGATTTAGGGATTCAGGGATGTAGGGTCCTATGTTTTTTTTTTTCCCTCAGTTTAGGTTCAGAAACAATGGGTGTGTGGATCCTTAGAGTAGGATCTTCGAGCAGGTTGACCCCTGGAGTCCCAAGGTCCGAGGGTTTACGGGTTTAGGTTTTGTTCATTTAGGGTTTAGGGTTTAGGGTTTAGGGTTTCGGGTTTAGGGTTTAGGGTCTCTATTTTGGGTTTTGGGGATTTGGGGGTATAGGGTTTAGGGGTTTGGGGTTTCAGGGTCTCTGTTTTGTTTGGGGAACCTTTGGGGCTGGCAGCCTGTTTCAGCTTAGGTGATTGGCTTTACAGCGTTCCGAGTTGAGGCGTTCTGGCTCCGGCGTAGGGCTTCAGGATGTGGACGAGTTAAAGCAGAGGCCGGAAGAACTTGCCATATTATTGCCGAATAGTCCTTAATGTAAATACAGTATAGTATACCGCAAAATCACAGAAAAGAGTAGCAAAGGCTCCTGCGTTGAGGGTTAGGCCCTAGGCTTGAGGTTCGGGGTCTTTCGGTTTTTCCTTGGCCACCGGTAGCCTCTTCAACCCCGACGCCTTCCTGTACCAGGGCTCGTGGATCCGGAGCAATTTTGCCAAAACACAGCTGTGGGACCCAGGGCTTACTGTAGGATTTACGGCGGCTTTGGGTGGGATGTAAGATTGCTGTTTGGTGTTGGCCTTTTTCATGCTTTGGGGTTTAGGGTCTTCTTTGTTGTGCTGAGGTGGTGTCCGCAGATGTCATGATTGAAGTGGGGGGCAACCACGTGGTCCTCGACAATGTCTGGGCCTGGAGGGCAGACTGTTGCCAGCTAGGCTGTGGCACGTGTGTGGAGCGATACTGCAAGCACGGCGTAGTCGTGAACGGTGCGAATGTGGTCTCCTACGGCCTTTTTTCTGAACATTGCCAGCAGGAGTTGATCTAAAACCGCGCCCCCCTGAGACCGAACTCCCTGAGCCTTAAACCCTAAACCCCCCTTGATCATAATCCCTGAGCAGGATCTAACCGTATGGAACGGGGAGAATGGGATGTCCTTCTTCTACCAGAGTGAAATGGACTCCTTCGCGCGGCAACCCTGGGATCACACACCAGACTATGGAGAAGCTGGTTCTCAATACGGTTGATGGACAAACTCCTGCATGACCTTATATACCTAAACTATGGGATTTATGGTACTATACTATATTTGGGTCATGCAGAATTTTGTCCATCGACAGTAGTAAGCGGTATGCTTTTCTCAATTCTGGTGTCGTGACTTCAACTGTTCTTGGTGAAACCCAGGAAAATGGTGTCTCTGGCTACCGAGTTAATGCTCACAACCACACCGCCCTGGGCATCGGCGTCTACGCCTATTTCGTAGAGCCAGGAAATGTCGTAAAGGCCGGCACAGTGATAGCGGATGAGGCCAGTAGCAAGCTGACGTGTCCTTTTGCTTGGAATCTGAATCCTGCGTGGTACAACAACTCAGAGTCCGGAATTGAGCGTGCAGTGAGAATAGAGCATGCACATTTGTTAGAGTTTTGATCCCTCCACTTCCTCCTTGATGGTCGAACCATCTCATGGAAGCGGTGTTGGATGCTTTTGGTACGTTTCCTGCGCGGTTGCAGCTACCTGTTAAAGAGTGCCCTTCCGTGCATGCATGTGCGCACCGCGCCAGCAAGCCTCACAACAAGACGGCTGCCAAAAAGACATGCGTGGCCCGGTTCGCACCAGCCTTCAGCATCCCCAGATTTAGAAAGCCTTTGCAGGGAACTCCAGAAAGTTGGAACATAGGACAAGGATGATTAGTGCTAGAACTCAACCCTAAGCCTAATGCCCTATACCCTAAACCCTAAACCCACTCTAAGTATTGAGGCCCCTTAAACCCTAAACCCTAAACCCCTAATATTAGGGCTCAACTCACCTCAGCAGGATTCGGCTCCAGAGTTCGCTTCCGCGAGGGCTCAATTTGAACCGCGTGACATGGGAGCCGCGTCGCCCAACGTCGTCGGGGAAGCTCTCACGCCCAAGGGTTTAGCGCTTAGGGTCTCAGGTTAGGGTTAAGGGTTTAGGGTCTAGGGTTTACAGGTCTAGGGTTTAGGGTTTAGTGTTTAAGGTTTCGGGTTTAGGGTCTAGGATTTCCGCCCCAAATCCAAGGAATGCTCCAGCGACAATCCTAAGCTCTTTTCAAAACCTGCACCCTAAATCCTAGACCCCGAAGCCCAAATCCCAGGTCCCAAGCCTACACCATTCCTAAAGTACACCATCAATAAAGGCAAAGGCCCCCAACTGCCAGGGCTCCTCATTATCTATAACCTACTCCCACACCGCATTCTAATCATTCCGGCCTCTATATCACAGAACGCTGCTCGTAACCTTTATAAAACTGAAGGACCTTTGAAAGAAGCCCTTGCAGCAACCCTTTGTTAAGTCGTTGTGGCTCTTATACTTTCTCCCGAGGGAGATCCCTGGGCCCCCCACCCAGAGACCCCCAAACCTCTTCATGCACAGGCCCATATTATACCGGCCGTCATAATTGGAGTGGGGTTCTGGTCATAAGGGCTCTAGAAGGGTTATGCCAGGGGTTCTATGATGTAGTGGCCCTCAATAGTTAGACTAGGGCGTGAGGGCATATTACAGTGTGCTCATGGTCAGGAACACCAAAGATAAACAGTATCGGCAATTATTTAGGCTTCTATAGGAAAAAGAAATATACTTTGAGGTACAGTAAGTAAAGTGCATGGACAGTTTGAGGTACACTCTTTTCCTTTGAGCAAAAATTCGCCTTGAAATTCGGGTCCGCCTATAGTTCCCCAAAATAAGATCCCTATTACAACCCCTATTGAAGGAGGGTTGTTTCAATCAGGAACCTATGTTTTGAGGAGTTCGAGGCGTGGCGAAGTCGCACCGCCCTTCTGCGAAGTTTTGGCTCGGCAACTCAGTGACCGCCGCAGACAGCATGAGACTCACCCCGTTTAGGGTTTAGGGCTTAGGGTGACTACTCCCAGCTTGTGGTAGGATCTATTGCCCGGATTGAGCTTCGGAGTGCAGATCCAGCTAAGAAAGGAAGCAGAGCCGGGTGGAGAGAGCTAGCCAGCTTGCGAGCGCAAGCCTGTGCTTTGCATCCACGGCTGGCTCCCGAGCTCCTGTCTTTTGGGGCTCTGGGATGTCCTTAGGGTTTAGGGTCATAAAGGTTCTTACGAGGGATACTGAAGTCTTGCACAGGGTGCTATAAGGATTTCGGAGAGGTGTGCTGGAAGGGGTACTTTCAGGAAGGCTGCGCCATGCCGTGGAGCTGTAGTTTTGGCCACAAACACGTCTAAACCTGAAGAGGGGTTGTCTGGCTTTCTTTCCGGGTTCGCTGCGAGCTTCTCACGTGAAGACCTGTGGTGCCTGAACAGGTCATTAACCGCAGTTTCTGTGTTATCCCTTAACCCGTACCGCTGAACCCTGACCCTAAACTTAAACCCTGACCGCTAAACCCGAAGTACTGAATGATGAACCCGTCCCTACCCCAAAAGAGGCTTAGGTTCGGAGGGTTTGGGGTTCAGACTTTTGGGCTCAGCGGGCCTAAACTCTCATTCCTAAGCCCTTAATCCTGAAACCCTGATCCTTGAAGCATAGTCCCGCAACTTGCGATCCTTGAGCCCAAGAATGCCAGCCCTACATCCGTGGAAGCTTTGGGCCCCTTCAGCCCCTTAACAATTGGACTACTGGTTTGATAGTATACTCCAATTCAAAAATGAATTCGAGCGGGATGGTCTTGCGAATTATTCAGACCCCTATGTTGCATGCTAAACCCGAAACCCCCCAGCCGCCCCGAGGCTTGGCACCAAAGTGTCCTGCTCTCTGGCGGGACGTGCCTTCGCAACGCGTGGCGGAAAGCCAAACTCCCAGGCCTGGCGCCTGAAGGGACGGTTCAACCCTACACCCTAAACCCTGTACCCTAAACCCTAAACCCTAAACCCTAAACCTTGTAACCTAAAGCCTAAACCCTAAACCCTGTACCCTAAACCCTAAACCCTAACAGCACAGAGTTTAGGGGCTTCCTGGACCATAAGGGGTTTAAGGGCTTGGGGTTGCTACAAGGGTTCGGGGGTCAAAATTTTTTCAGGTCGAGGGGCTTTCGGGTTGCTCTAGGGCTCTAAGGATTCCGATGGTAGGCTTTGGCTTTGGGCGGGATAGGGCACCGGGAACTCCAGTGGTTGAGGAGTTTTTGGGAGTTTCGAGGTTTTTGGGGTTTCAGGGGCCGCAGGGGTGTGAGGCTGAGTCTTGTAGCTCATGGTTCAGGGCTCTAACTTGCAAAGGTATATAAACATGCCTCCGTGAATGCGAAAGTTGATTATTTTTCCGCGAAGAAGGTCATTCCGGGATGAACCGGGATGGAGCGGTTTAGACCAACAGCCACATAATAGTGTTGTAGGGGTTTGGCGTAGAGGCTTCGGCTTGCTGGTTTGGAGTTGCTTCTTGTGTGGCACCTCACGGGCTCGATAGGGGAGGGCCTAGGCCAGAGATTGAACGCCACGGAAGAAACCCTCGGTCCGAAAAGAACATCAGTGAACTCTGCGGGTTTGCCTTTGTTTGGGAGAATCCCCCAAACCCCAAGAGCTTAGGCTTTTCGGTTTAGGGGAAACCCTAAATTGTGGGGTTTTCATCGGGGGTGCCCGTTCGAAAGAAATTTGCGTAGGTCTTCTCGGAGTTGTGATCGCCAGAGGACTTTGCGTGCAGAAGCGGCCCAGTGCAATACAGCCTTTGCCCAGCGCGTGCGCCCGTGGCTGCCGTGGGTTGTAAGTGTTTTCAGGTTCAGATCTCGTTTCCTAAACCCTACCTGGACCCTCTAAAATGTATGTTAGGATGATCTCCGTTTTGAAATCCGATAAAGCAGGCAGGTTAGCCAGGCTGCAGGAAATGCCCTACATCCTAAAACCAGAAAAATCCTCCTTGAGGTGTTGAAGTCAGTAGCCCACCCCTAAGAGACGAATCCTCAGCCCCAAAGACCCCACAGGAAATTTTCTCGTCATGATGAGCTTTGTTGAGATAGTGGAGCCTAGTTCCATCGTGAGAGAAAGGGGAAGACGGCTTTCAGGAAAAGCCAGAATAATGAACGATCGTGTCAGACTACTGACGACAACGTGGTGGAGGTATCCCTCCGCCGGAATCATCCCTTTTTATGGGGGCACGTAGAAGGTGCAGAGGCAGCTTACCAGAATACTAAATCAGCTTCGGGTTTCCGCTGCTGTCGGGCTCTAAACCCTAAACCCGAAGAGAGCCTTAACAGGAAACCCCTACCGACGTAGGTACTTCCGGGAGATGTCGGGCGAACACACTTTCGAGGCCAGCAGCGTTGTCAAGGGAACGACCGCAGGGCTAACACATCCAGGCTTGGCAGTCATACTAAGCCCTGAATCCTAAACCCCAAACGCTAGACTTTAAGCACTACGTCCCAAACCCAAAATACTGAACACTAGACCCGGAATGATTGATGTTATCTGTATGACATCGCTTTCAAGAGGGCTCGAAAGCCTACCCTTCAGCTTCAATGTTTAGCTCGGCATCCGGATGCCACGATTGTTGGTTGTTGTCTTTCTACGGAACCACCATACATCCCTAAACTCCAAACCCTCAGCCCTACACCCTTAACCCTAAACCCTCAACCTTAAACCCCAAACCCTCAACTTTAAACCCTAAGCCCAAACCCTCAACGTTTAGGGTTTAGGGTTTGGGGTTTAGGGTTTAGCGGTTTAGGGTTTAGAGACTACCCTATCTGAGGGCTCGTCGACTTTGTTTCGGATTCTCGGCTGATTAAATTCGCAATGTACAATCCTGACGGGGGATATTGAACTCCAGGCAAGAATAGAATCAATTCCATGAGCCCGTTGAGACAGACCCCAGACCCCACATCCTAAACCGAAAATTCGGACCAGATTCGAACAAGCCTAAGCCCCAAATTCTGCCAGACACCCTAAACCCTAAACCCTAAACCCTAAACCCTAAAGCCCCAAGCCTGAATGTCTAAACCCCAGTCCCCCTAAAGCCTTTAAAGCCCGAAGCCATCTCTAAGACGTGGACTCCATCACTCCGGCCATTCCTCTTATCCACACCTGTCCGAAAGCCCTTATCATCGAAGCCTTAGAGAGAGCCGCTTAGGGTTCTGGGTGTAGGGTTTAGGGTCTAGGGCTCTTGATTATGATAATGCTCAGCGGGGGACCCTTTAAGAAAACCCAAGTTTTTCCTGAAGTCTACCGCGCAGGTCACCCTCGAGAAGCCCCACTTCCCCACTGAGGAAGAAAAGATCCTCAAGTGAGACGGGCTTCATAGGGTCTTGAAGGGTTTAGGGTTTAGGGTTTAGGGGTTTTGAGTTTAGGGTTTAGGGTCTTAATGGTGGGCTCTATAGAGTTCCACAAATTTTCACTTTCATAGTGAACTACAGGGTGTAGAGGGTCCCTAAAGCATTAAGACAAGATCCCGAAGTTGGAGGGTTTGGGCGTTGGGCTACGGTTTGGGGAAGTTGAAGGTTTGGGGTCCAGGGTTTAGATATTGACAATTCAAGGGGGTTAGGGTTTGGTCGGAAAGTTTAGGCTTGGGGTTTTGGGTCTAGGGGGTGAGGGTTCGGGTCACCCCCCGAAATCGTAGTCGGAAGCTTTGATATCGGTCCGCAATTCCTGAACCTGGAAACCGTAGTCCTTGCTGAGGCATTGAGACCATAGGATTGTTTTCGCTGCTCTGCCACGGATAGCCGAACAGGATGCTGATGGGGCAGTTTACGTGGGATGCGAAAACCTTATGGAATATCGCCGTCCTTCCGGCACATGAGCAAGTGTTGGTGGCACCAGCCGAAACAGAGTAAGCAAGCACAAATGCGTTTTTCCATTCAGCTATTTTGCCAGGGCTTACGAACCAATCTCCACGATGCACGCCACTTCCTACAAACAGCTGTTGGCCTAAACCTGAGTGGTTGTAGGTACTGGCGAGAGATCGATGCCTTTCGGGAGTCCTTGAAGCAGTCCCAGGGGAAGCCAGGGACCCAAGTGATTCATTCTGTTTGGTTGTGGTGGAGCAGCATACGTTGCACCTTTTATATTACCGAAAGGTTTAGTGCATAATTCACCCCCAGCACCTTGTTCTGATGAAGAAAAGCCTTTACTATAGTAACTCTCTTCTGAATAATTCAGGCCCCTATATTGGGCGGTTGGGTTTCTGGGAGCTTTTGACCAGCGTTTTCGGGGCTTTTTTAGCTTTTGGGATGGGGCTCGAAGGTTTCAGGACAAAGGGTTTTGGGGTTCAGGGTTTAGGGGTTTAGGGTTTAGTGTTTAGGTTGTTTTGTGATGTTCCGAGGGTTCGGATGAGGGTTTTCTTGATGAGACGTGGTGACTTTACGGTTCAGGGTCACCTCTCTGGGGTTTTGGGTTGGAGGGTGTAGTGCGAAGAGTGGGTTCTCCAACTTGCGTCAAGATTTGGGGCTTCGGATTTAGGGTTTGAAAGGTTCAAGGGCCTTAAGGGGCCGAGAGAGGGATTTCTAGTGTCGGCCTTCAAAACTCGCCGAAACCCACGGAGCTGCTTCAACCTAATTACGAGAGACCCAGAATTGTCCTCACGAGGCGACCGTGGTTAGGTCACACCTTTCGGCCTACGCTGGCCTACACCCGAAACCTCAACCCCAAATAAAGCCCTAAACTCCTAAAAGCCTAAACCCTAAACCCCTAAATCCTATCGCCCCAAAGCCCTAAACCCTAAACCCTAAACCCTAAACCCCTGCACCCTAAATCTTAAAGCCCCAGAACCTACACCCCTAAAGCCTTAAAGCCTGAAGCTGAGCCCGAAGCCTCAAACTGAAAGCCTTTTTCTTTTCGGAGAGCAGGCCCGCCTACAACTTCTACGACGGCCCCCCTTTCGCTACGGGTCTGCCCCACTACGGTCACATCCTGGCCGGCACCATCAAGGCACAGTTTTGCGGTTCTAAGGGGGTTTTAGGATTTAGGGTTTTGGGGGTTTAGGGTGTTCTGGTTAAGGGCTTTAGGGGCTTAGGGCTGAAAGCGTCTCGGGTTTATTTTGGTTTTGGGTTTATAGGTTGTCGGGCTTAGGGTGTGCGTTTGAGGAATGACGATTTGCATCTGTGGAGGATGAAGACTAGTCCCGCGGAGATTCCTTAGGCAGAGCGGGCGGAACGGGGCTTTTAGCTTTCATGCTTATCCCTACGGTTGCTGATAAAAATCCTGCATTACCCATAATTAGGAATATACAAGAATTCCCATAGTTCAGGGTCCTTAAGGTAATGCAGGATTTGTATCATCCACAGTTTTGGTGGGGTGTTAGGGTGTAGGCCCAGAATTGCTTAAGCTCGTCCTAGTTCCCCATCCTCATGCTCCGCCTCCTCCATTGCCTGCCTTTGTTGCTGATGTCAGAGGAGGGTTTAGGGGTTCAGGGTAGGTGATAATGATGTTGGTCCTGATGAGGATAATGTTGACATTCTGCTCGCTTTTCGTGTCGTCGATGTTGCTTTCGTGGTGTTTATCATGACGGTAGTCTTCCTCAGAAGGTTTCCCCTGGCAGTTTTCACCTGCAGGATGTCGTGACGAGATATGCTCATCAGCGGGGCTACCACGTCGAGAGAAGGCGTCGGGTGCCTGCAGTCGTTTGGTTTGCCGTGTGTCGGCTTCGGCTAAGTTGCTTTCGAAGCTTGAGGGCTTCATGTCGGAGTACGCCTCTGCAAGAGCTTTACGAGCGCAGCTCGCCACCATTCCACACTGCTGAAACCTGAAGTCTTTCCACCCTGAACCTCGGAGTCTACAGAATGCGTAGCATCATAGCCTTATTACAATCCCAATATATTTATGCCAGGCCATACCCCAAAAAGCGCGACTCTAGTTATCAAGGCCTCTATATTCGCACCTGGTTTCTTGGAAGCACCCTGTTGGAATCTTGCAGGTGTGAACAGTCTGAGAGTAAGGGACCCGTAACCTAAAACTCCAAGCATCGAGGACATGGGTTTAGGGGTTTAGGCGGTTTAGGGGCATTTAAGGGAAGCCATGAGCTCCTTCAACAGTGTCCTCGCAGTCATAATCCTTCTGTTTACATCACGTCTGCGTGTACCATACTGTTGAGGCTCTAAAAAAGGCCACTTCAACTCCACAAAGTTTAGCGAGCGATTTAGGGTTTAAGGGTTCAAGGCCCTTTCAACCTCGATGAGCTGTTATGATAATCACTTTTCAGCAAAATCTAACACGGGTGCTTGAATAGGCAGCAAAACTATTCCTTTGAGTTCCCCAATCTAGTCTGGGAGTGGATTCTGATTATGAATTAAGGACCCTCCAGCGGACGACCCGGAGCAAAGTGTTACCGGCTCTGAAGCCGGAGATGGTGAGAATCGTACGTGCCAAACCTCAGGCCAGACGTAGAGCATCAGCGTTTTTGTTTTCCTCCATGCCCCACTGTGGGAAGTATACGGGCAACCACAAGACCTGTTGTTTCAGTTGAACCATGCTTGAAATATCCGAGTCAGCAGAAGGCCCTAAAGACTCCGGGGGAAGGTGCCTTTAATTCATCCTCGACGGAGCAATCAGCCCAGAGCTACTGGAGGTGAACACATGAGCCCTGAAGCATGGCAGCAAAGGGCTGCAGTCGGGCCTTCTGCGGCCACTGGCTTAAAGCGCTGCTTTTGCAAGCGGTGGGAGGGTGGAAGCTTCATGATAAGGGCTTCAAGAACTCCCTATTTTAACCACAGAGCCCCCCCCCCCCGCCTCCCCCCTCCCAAAAAGCATTCCTATGCCCCTAAAGGGAGGCCTGCGGGCATGGAAGGCCTCGGGTTCCCTTAGAGCTGTGGAGACATCTTTTTTTCATGAGCCCCTCTCGACCCAAGAGCCTCCAAGCTCTGAGCCCAAGACCTCGAAACCTCCAAGACCGGAAGCCCCACAGAGATACTGTTGATGATATAACCCCTGCATGACCCATAATGAAGAATATACCATAGTTCCGATAGTTTAGGGTCCTTAAGGTAGTGCAGGATTTATATCATCAACACTAGCAAAAGGGATCCTAGTTTCGACGACGTGCTGCGCTACCTGTGAGCCATGGATATCCTCCCCTGGAAGGGCGAGCAGCCGCTTGGGCTGGACGGTTGCTTTCGGGTTCAAGGTTTGTGGTTGAGGTCTCGGGGTTGTAGGTTTCAAGGTTTGGGGTTTGGGGTTCAGGTTTGGGGCTGTAGTGTTCAAGGTGCTGAGGTTTTGGGGTTAAATCTAGATCTCAAGGTTTTTCCGTTAAAGAGTAGAGGCAAGGGAGGGAGGCTTTCACAGTGTTGGTGACGCATTAGGCGGTGCCTTTGTCGGCCGAAGCCTCAAACCCGAAACCCTGAAGCCGGAATCCTAAGCCCTAAAGTCCCTAAAGCCTAAACCCTAAATCCCAAACCAGAACTCTAAACGCCCCAACCTCCAGAATTGCGCTAACAGCATAGAATTTAGGTATTAGGGCATAAGGTTCAGATAACAGATGATCGTTTGGAGTTCGGGGCTTTTCGGGTTTAGGTTTGGCAACTAAAAGCAGAAGGTTTGGCAGCTAAGTTAGTGTATGGGCTTTACAGTATAGCTAAGGCCCGAAACCTTACATACCTAAACTGTGAAGGAACCAATATTTACTGAAGATTCCGAGCATGGCAATTTACATTGAGAGCCTTAACAAGAAGCCAGCTTTGTTGGAATTCAGGGTCTGTGGGCTTTGCCGCTCGGGAATCAGTTTTTCTGACCGAGGGTTTTCGTAGAGTTGAGGACAAATTTGGCGTGGCAGGGCTCAGGACCTACTGTAGACTCTAAATTCAGAACCGATTTCTCCAACTCCTAAATCCTAAGCCCCAATGCCTCGGACTCCGCACCTCAGGGACTTCTCCGTGACGGGCGCCAAAGCTGGGCAACTGTGCAGCACCACCCACATCGACGTCACTTTGTCGATTCCCGCGGCGCCCTGAGATCCAGCGCCATGAGTCGGTGCTACGATTTAATTAGGGCTTACCCCAACCCCCCAAAAGAACTGGTAAAACCATGGGACCAACACTTCTAGAGGGCTATTCTTCTACATACTTCTGGGGTTCGGTGACGGGGTTGAGGTCATGTGGTTTAGGACTTAAGGACTAGGTTTCAGGATGCTGGAGCCCGGGATGCTCTTGAAGCAAGCTTCGAACTTCGCCCGGAGGACGCCCACATCCCCCCCAAAAAGCGTGTCGCGTACGGAAAGCCCCAAATCCGAAGAAGTTTCCGTCTCCGCAAGCGCCCCATGTCTGGTCCTGACTGGAAATCCGAGAGGCTCGGATCCACCGACATCCGAATCCTAGACCCCTGACCATGAAGCCCTAAACTCTAAACCCCTAAACACCAAACCAGAAGCCTACAGACGATAAACTCTCATCCCAAACACTAGAGCATGGTCCTAAACACGAAGCCCTTAATCCCAGAAAATAACCCCTCACCCTTAGACGCTGAGCCCTCAACCCTAACCATGGAGCTCCGACCCTAATATAGGGACCTCAATAATTACCTATACTATTTTGGGGGTTCCTTATTGTGGCTATAGTATAATGGGCCTCAAAACCCTATTCCAATTATTAAGGCTCCTTTTTTTCACTCAAAACCCGAATCTTTAGACCCCAAGCCCGAGCCCTCAGCCCGCGCTTGCCATCGCAGGGAACGGATGAGGTCTTCAATGTCGCAGTGCAAACCTGCACCAAAGTCCAGGATTCCGGATGAGGGTGTATGGGTTTGGGGTGTAAGGTTGGGGCCGTAATAACTAGAATAGGGCTTCGGGACCCATTATACGATAGTTATAATGAGGAACCCCCCCCCCCCCCCAAAACCCTCTTCTAGTTAAAAAGGCCCCTGTATTAGGGTTTGGGGGTTCAGGGGCTTAGGGTTTAAGGTCTTCAGGCTTTAGGGATTTCGGGTTTGGGGATTCAGGCTATGGGTTTGGGGTCCAGGACTCCTACTCTACTTGCTGCACCTGGGTGGGCCAAGGATAGGGACTGCTCGAACGGTTACTACAAGCGTTGCTGAATGGTTATCATAAGGCTTACCATAATTCAATATAATCTTGCTTACAGGGGGGGGGGGCATGATACCCACATGCATGACTCCGAATGACGTCGCACAATGGCCCAGCCCGATCGGACATCATGGGATGTAGTTTCTCCAGTAGGAGGTAGGCTGTGTTTTCACGTCTCATAAACTGGAGCATTGTGACACCCTAAACCCCAAACCCTAGACCCTATAATCCCTAAGCCCTCAACCCCAAACCCTACATCGCGCAGTACCTTCGTCTAAATTTAGAGTTAAGCATAGAGAACCTCAGACTTAGGGAGGCTCGCGAAGACGGGTTTAGGGTTTAGCAATTATAGAGATCATAGGGATTATAGGGATTATAGTAGGGTTGATGTAGGGGTTAGGGCTTAGGGATTATGGGGCTTTAGGGTTTAGGGTTTAGGGATTAAAGGGCATAGTTTGTAGCTTTCTTTTTTTTGAGGGGGAAACCTTAGGGGGGTACAGGGTTTATAGGGTTTGGGGGTTCTGTGGTGGGAAGCTTACAGTTTACACACTCCCCATACGCCCAGTCAGATCTTGCTTGTTCTTGAACATGCAAACCCGTCATCAGATTCTCTGCCTTCCGCGATGTGCCGGAACATACGAAGCCCCATACCCTAAATCCTAAAGCCTATAGCCGCTTAAGGCCCCAAGTTCCGATCAGGCAGGAAGATCCCAGCCGCAAAACCCCAACTGCCCCAAGCACTTCCATCCCAGCCCACACTTAAAGCCAAAAGCCTGGAACTGGGCTTCGAGCTCTAGCTCCTAAACGTGTGGCAGGACTTGAAGTATGCCTTGCACCGGGCTCGGAACTGGAATGAGAAGTAAAGGCGTTTGATGGTCAAGAGTTGCAAGCTTATGGTTGTCTCGGTTTAGAGTTCAAGGTCGCTTCTTCGCATCTGCCGTTCTGCGATAAAAATGTATTTCTATGCTTATGATGTCGGGTAGTGGGTTCGGCCCTGAACCTCAAACCCAGGAGGGGGGTTCGTTCTATTTGAAGGCATTCGGGCGAAGAAGAGCCCAAAAGCCCGGTTAGCATACGAAGCCCCAACGCCCAGCCAGGCCTTTACGAGCACCCCAAAGCCATTGTACCACGACCCTTGTATAATCCCAGTCTACTTATTCAGGCCTCAAATGTAGAAGCCCTGAATAAGTAGTGACCTTATTCCTTAGGGCTCCTTTTTCTATATCCGACTACCATATACCCGAAAACTCCTAGCCTGATCACTCATTATTACACCCGGCCCTGCAGTCCTTGGCAAGACCGCTGAAAAGACTTAAACGTTTTCAAGCTACGGAACAAGAGCCGCAAGGTTTCCGTAGGCCTAAACCCGGAAGAACTCACTTTCCCCCACTCCCAGCCGACTCCCACACCCTTCCACTCACCAGCACGCACGCATGCACAGATCCGCCACCTCAAACACCTTTTCAACGACCCTGTTCGAGGTAGGTCGGGACAACCTTGAAGCCCCAAACCCATCCAAATGCTTGAACTTAAGCCCTTCAACCCACCCTGTACCCTTTAAGCCTTTAACGCTTAACAGGACCTAACACCCCGAAGGCCCCATGACCGAGGTCGGCAAAGATGGGTTACCTGGAGCCGGACCGCATTAGCTTCGTCGTGAAGCAAGGCTAGGAAAAAGGGGGAGTTGCGCGCGTTTCCAGGGGCTTCGGTATAGGGTTTAGGGTTTAGGGTTTAGGGTTATTCCCTTGTGGCGGGTTATGGGGTATTGGGGCCGGGCTTCCAGGGCTTGCAGAGTATGGGCTTGGGGTTTCTGGTTTTGGCGAGGGGGGGGTTAGCGATCTTCGGGGCTTGTACTTTTGTTTTGGCCTTGGGCTGTGAGGCTTCTAGTGTTCATGTTGAAGGCCTCACAGGGTTTAGAGGTTAGGGTTCAGGGCTTAGCGGTGTAGCCAGCCCCAAGCCCTAAAGCCTGCAACCCTAGACCCTAAACCCCAAGCCGTAAACTCTGAGGTTTGAACCTCCGAACCCTCTTCTTTCCACCCGAAGCCCGGAAGGCTTCCACTTCGGAGTTTTCCCAAGGCCAAGTACCCCAAGGAGTGCGTTTAATTCAGCGACTTGAATAACAAGTACTCATATACCCTGATCGTCCCTCTAGTATTGCATTGTGACATACCCACCAGACCTATTTTCATTCCAGAGACCATGATGCGATGCTACCTTCTGCCCTTCCGGGCTTTCTTTGCTTAGATACATGGACTCATAAACCCTAAACTCTAAACCCTAAACGCTACACCCTAAACTCTAAACCCTGAACCCCTGGACCCTAAGCCCCAAGTCGCACGCATCTACCATCTCAGATCCTTTTCGGGAGCCCCCTCTGACGAAGGCATAAAATCATCGTCGAGAAACAAAAAAAGGCGCTATCCTCGGTCCTAAAGCCAGAAGTCGTCGAAAGGAGCCCCGACCCTAAACCCTGATATAGGGGCTTAAATAATCACCTGTACTATTTTGGGTTCTTTATTATGAAGACAGTACACTTTACCCCAAAACCCTATTCTAAAACAAGAGGCCCCTATATAAAACCCTAAAGGCCTCGAGCACATGAGGCCTTAAGGCACAGGTCTACCACTGCGGGATGAAGATAGACAGGATTAGAATCCCTGGCATAAGGACTCGTATTCAAGATTCCTCCGCCTAACGGTCCTCCCATCACAAAATGCGTCAGGTTGTACATACAAAAAGCTGCAGGAGTCGGATCAGGCGTGTTGTGTTTTGCTTTGGGTTTGCGGTCGTTTGGAAGCTTACGTCCATGCAAACAGGGTTCTGAAGTGATCAGTGTTGGGTGTTCTGTTTCGTTTAGGCTACTGAAGAGAATGCTTCGGGCTCATTGAGTTTAGGGGCTTTGGTTTGGGTCGAGCGTTTAGGCTTTGGAGTTCAAGGTTCGGGGTTTAGGGAAGTTTAGGGGGCTTGGATAGGAGTGCCGTCAAGTACCGAGGCCCCCCTGCAGTTGATGGAGTTTTTTTTTCTCACGCCCCGGGTGTGTTGGGTTGGGTGGAGGCTTTACATAGGGGCCTGAACTCTTGGTAAGCGTATCTCCTTATCGCAGTCCCTGGGTGATACGAAAGGGGTCTGAACAATTAGGAATAGTATGCCTTCGGGTTCCCGAGTATATTCATGGCACCCTCCAACAACACGCAGGGTTTAGGAGTTTAGGGTTCAGGATTTATGGTTTAGAAGATCATCCAAAGGCCGCACAGGGCGACAGAGTGGATCAAGGCTACGAGCAAAGGGATTTCCAGTCTGTGCACTTCCAAGACGCTAAGCTCTCGTCTTTTCCCTCAAGCTCTGTGCCCACAGCCCTAGACATTACTGAACCCTTCCAGCCAAAAGCCAAACCCAAATGAAACCGTATAGAACCCGATGAGACACGAAGAAGCGGTAAAAAGGCGTTTCTGCTCGGTTTCATTGCTTGCAGGGTTGGACGATTCAAGTTTGCAGCTAGCTTCTTGACGTTCGGGTAGACTTGAAAGAAGGATCCTAGGGTCCTAGATCCTAAACCCTCTTTTTCCCACATGCCCGAAGCCAAAAACCAATCAAGCCCTAGAGCCCAGAGCCATACGCTCCACAGTTGAAAAAACCTGTACCTCTGCTACCTCGAAGCGCACGCCCCGGAAACTTGGGCAGGTGCTGAAGAAGATGCTGGTTCAAGGCGCGGGTGGCAGCAGAAACCCTAAACCCTAAATTTAGGGTTCAACGTGTAGGGTTCAGGGTTGTTTCGGGTTCAGGGTTTAGGCTTGAGGGCTGAGGGTTAAGGGTTTAGGGTTGTGTAGGGCTAGTTTCGGGATTAAGAGTCCTGGTCTTCACGCACTAATCATCCGCACCTGCCTCCCTCCTTTTTCTCAATGTCATCCATATATGTCAAGCCCCACAAACAGACCTCGAAGCCTTGAGCCCCGAAAGACTAAAGCCGACCTGAAGCCCTAGAGCCCTAAACCCTAAACCCTAAACCCTAGACTCTAAACCCTAGACCCTAGACACTACACCCTAAACCCTAAACCCCCGAAGGCCCCTAGACTCCCCAAAAGCCTGCGCAGCTCCAGGAATCAAGAACTTCAAGCCGCCTCTGCACCAGTACCCGCATCCCTATGCCATCATCGGTGCGGGGAGTCCCAGAGAAGAGTTTGGTGAAAGCCTTGGTTTTTTGGATAGTCTAGGGGCCTTATTTGATTAAGATAGGGTCGGGGATGCATGATGCTATAAAATGCTATAAAATGCTATCAATGCTATAAATACAAAGAAGGAAGCCGCAAAACTGGTACAGGTAACCATGAAGGCCCCCTAGGCGGTGGTAGGGCGTGGGGACCCTTCGACCTTCGGTTTATGGAGTCCAAGTTGGTCCTAGAGCCGAAGCCCCAAAAGATAAGTCGGGTTTGGGGCTTGGGTTTTAGGGTT